TACAATACACATTTTTACTTTACGTGTGTATACTAAGATAGAATTTATATGACAACAGTTCGTTTGACCTGGCATTCGGTATAACATACATTACAAAAACAGAAAGCGTTGCTTCTGTTTCATCTGTAATCTTTTCTCTTTATATCAAAGATTGACTATGTCGGGGATTTACAGATATCGTGAGCGGCATTACTAGTCAAATGGTTAAAGACGTCTATTTAAAGTTGCAAACATAACAGCTTGTCAATTTTTTGTACATAGTGTTGTAGCAAACTATACATAGTTTGCCTTTTTTTGAACCAGATAATGACGTTGAAGAATAAACGGAGATGTGGGGGTTATACGAAAACCATTCAGTAACCTGATAACAAAACTAACGATATCGAGAAGGCACCATACAGTCTTTATCAAACGACAGCTGTCTATACAATATGTCAATCTCTTAATCGCCCTAAGTCTACAAATTTGTGAATAAATTAAACACAAACTTCAAAATGGTTTAGGACAAACATAGATTCAAGTGCACAAGTCCCCACAAAATCTTCATTTCTAAAAAATAATTGAAGTATTTTTGTGACTGGTCGGTGGTGCCTGCATCTAAACATTTTGAAGTCTAAAAAATGATTAAGTTGAAGAGAAATGAAAACCAAATATGTCAGAAGGTTGTGCATTGGAGCAGAACACCATCTTGTTAACGGTAAATGTACAGAACATGACTGCATGAATGATATTTTATGTCAGAAATAGAGTGTTGACAACTAGGCTCGTTATACCTCGTGACGAAACGTCAAACAGCAAAACCACATCATCCTGCGGACGCGAAACCAAGACACAGTTTTGACCTGATGTGACGTCACAAGAAAGTCAGGACATTAAACAATGTTAAAGTTATTTAACCTTTATTAAAATATACATAAAATTACGATGAAAGAGTACCTCAGATTTTCGAAGAACTTAATAAGTTGTCAATTAGTTACAAACTTCCGAATTTAGGTATATGAAAGATCACACTTTAAAAGTAGAATTAGAGATATAATGTCAAATTTTATCAATTATATGTCCGAATGAATAAAAAAGATTATGTTTTTGTCACATTGTATACATGTACTGTGTTGTATTGCTTTATCCGTTGGGTTTTTTGTTTATGGAATAAAGTTTCGAAAATAAGAAAATCTTATTCGATCTGGTAATTAGTATGAGAAATTATTTAAATTCCAAGATACACGTTATATAAAGATAGCCTGTAATGCTGTGGCTGTCATTTGTTACTGTATATTATGTTTGTTTTTGTTTGTTGTTTTGCACATAAATCAGGCTTTTGGATTTTCTATATGAATTGTTTTACATTCAATTTTGTCGGAGATTTTATAGCTTGCTATGTTGTTTGCTCATTGTTGAAGCCCGTAGGGCGAACTAAAGTCATTTGGTCTCGTGTGGATAGTTGCCTCATTGGCAATCATGCCGCATCTACCTTTTTTTTTTATATTACTATTCAATTTCGTGTGTCCTTTTCCAAATGAAACAATTTAAAAAAAGAATTATCATTGAAACGCATTAATATATTATCCTTGTGATTTCTTGATACATGCGTATTCTATAATCCTAATATCTTAAATTTACTGTAGACGACTTATTTTCTAGATCGATTTATTTTTCAAAAATCTACGTAAATATGTGAAACCTAGATCTATTCGTATATGAACAAAACAACAACATTAGGAAATGGCGACAATATATTGCTGCGAAATAGTGTAGAATAGGTTAATCGCGAAAAAAAGTTACCGCGAAAATCAGTTTATTTTACAGTATTTCAATAGTATAATGTATGTTTACTTTCATCGTTACTTTTCCCTCATACACGATAAGAATCACAGAACTGAACTATGTCGAATACGAATTAAACCATTACACTGCTGAACCAATCCATCCAACAGAATTGTCAATAATCTTAACTTATGTTCAAACGTAGTTATTTTTTTGGAAAAATTGATAGCAATTGTATATTATAACGACATATGTGATGTAACAGACAGTAAACAATTTTTTTTTGATTGGTAAAGGAGTAAGCAACTTCTAAATGTTGACATACGCTAGCATTAGTCTGGGTCAAATTATTAACTATATGATACAAATTCGAATTTACTAACATTAGCTATATACAAAAATAATAACTAGCTTGAATTCATGTTCAGAAGTTCCTTCAGCAAAAAAAAAAAAAAAAAACAGAATCTTTATATTTTGTTATTTTTGTCATTAAAAACTCTTAACACAATCATGTCCAATTTTTTTTTAGTTGAATTAAAAAAGCAAAATTTCAACCGCTCCATGCGTATACAACAAATATTTTTAAGATAATCATACTATGTGTAAAATGAAAGAAAAAAACAGAAACGAATGTTTTAATACAATATTGTTGTCCAACTTAAATCTTTGCAAACCACACTTGCATAAACATATAAAACATAGAAATGTGGTTGCCAATGAGACAAAGCACGAGGGTGTTAATTTCAAACATTTTGCGTATTGTATCCAGTAGCTCATGCTTTTGATTTGTATGGACATCTCGATTAATTTTCTAGATTTGATACGCTAGTCATTGGCTATGGGTTTATTGACAATTGTCGAGTAAAGATTCCGGTAAGGTATATAGAACCACAATTAACGATTATAGAAATATATACGATTTGGTGATGGATTCTGATGAAAACAAAGATTTACAACACACAAGACAAATGAGTGATAAAAGAAAGCGAGATGTGCAGAAAAGTGAATTACTTAAAAGAATCAAAGATCTAGAAAGTTATGTCAGAAATATGGATATGATTGAACCAGTCAGTGAAGATGAAAGGACTCAAAGAAAAGGTAAGTGGCATATTGCAAGAAAGTAAGATTGTGTGAAACATTAAAATCAAAACAAAATATACTGATAGGACTAGATTATTTGTCGACAAGTTCGTCTTCCAGTAGTTGGAAACACCGGGAAAAGTATTAATATTTATAAAAATACTAACAAAATCCTAGGATTTGAAGAGATTGTAGATTTGAACAGATGTAAATATGGGTAAACACCATGTGCGCAACGTAAAATAACAAGTTCTACTTTTAATAAGGTATATGTCACAAACATGTTTAATTCTGCCGCATTCTTTATGTGCCTGTCCGAAGTCAGGAGCCTGTAGTTCAGTGGTAGTCGTTGGTTTATGTCGGTCATACTTGTTTTTCGTAAATTGGTTTGTTATAGATTAGGCCGTTAATTTTCTCAATTGAATTGTTTCATATTTTTCATGCCAGGGCCATTTATAGCCGACTATACGGTATAGGTTTTTCTCATTGCTGAAGGCCATACGGTTGCCTTTAAGTGCTTACATCCACTTTATTTGAACTTTGGTGGATAGCTGTCTGCAATCATACAACATCTCCTTATTTTTATATGTGTTTTTTTTTCGGGTGGTGGTGGTGGTGGTGGGGGGGGGGGGGGGTTGATATTGTTTTTGAACAATACTTTGTACATTTGTTTCTTTAATGATTGATTCTTACATTCTTCATTCTATATATATCATTTATAACTGTTTTTTGTCTCTTTTCACTTTTTATCATTGATTATCATATGTTAAGACTTTTCTTGCAGACAGGAAGAATTTGAGAGAAAAGGTTTCTAAAACCGGCGGGTTGCCACCCAGGTAAATTAATTTTCTCTTAACGATTAGATATAATAACAAGTTCGTTGTTTGTTTTATCGTTTTGATACACACAACAAATTTCCACATATTTTGAAAATGTAACCCCGGCTAAAGCTAAAGTCGTTGAATTGCTAAAATATATATTGATTGTTCTTATGATTAAAGCATATGAACTTATCAGTATAATCAATACGTGAAGTTGAGAAGTTCAGAAACATCAATACGTTTAGATATATGTAAATCAACTCATCATAAATACCAGGATTAAGGTAGTGTACGCCAGACGGGTGTTTCCTCTTCTCAACTCAAAGACTCATCAGTGAGGTTCGAATAAAAAAGTTATAAAGGCCAAACAAATTGCGAAGTTGAAGAGCATTGAGTACCTATAATTCCGAAATGTTTTGAAAAATACAGCTAAGGTTATCTATTCTTGGGGTAGAAAATCTTTAGTATTTAGGAAAAATCAACGTTTTGTAAACAGTTAGTTCATAATTATGTCCATATCACTGAAAAATCATTCAACACAAAAGTACTGACTACCGCAATCTTCTAGGCAAAGAATGACAATTACATCCACGGTACCGGTTTTACTGCACCCGGTGCACGTTTCGACAATTAATGTTTCTTCAGTGATGTTTATAACCTCATAAAACATGTACAAATACATGTTATTCGAAAAGAATATGATATTGCAGGAGTACAATGAGGAAAACGTCTCCAGAAGAGCAAATCAAAAGATTAAGAGTAATGTTTGAATCAGTGGAGGAAATGCTGCGATCTCCAGATTACGACAAAGATCTACAAAAGGAACTATCTGCAGCATGCCCTAACTACATGACCGTCTTCCTAACAGCAAAACGTGATTTACTGAGAAACGATTGTGGGATCGTTGTGACAGGTTGGTTAAAAAAAGTAGCCATTCCTACCGGATCAATTTATGTTGCTTGCAAGCTACATTCAAGTTGTAATGGAAATGGTATTAAGTTTCTAGTGACTTTACAAAACAATTTAATTGTCAGAGAAAATTCTAACCATATGATAGTTTTATTTTGTCAAGAGAAGATCTTTGACCATAATCTATTTTCAAAATTAAAACATGAGGTGATGTCTGTATTTTCCCCATTAAACATATGCCATGATGTCAGTATTCATAACATTATGTTTCTTGAGTTACTGTAACTCCTGTCAATATTTTAAAATACACACCTTTGCAAGTTTGTGTTCACATTTTTGAACGAATAATTATTCTTTACCGAAAGAAAACATTTTACATATATAATTATTTGTAGGAGAAACAAGTGCTGGTAAAACAACAAAAAAAGGTTTTCGAAACAAGTGTTATGGCATCAACGGGTAAAATCACTAGGATTCGGGATTCAGAGAAGATAGAAATAAAATGTTATTTAAAAGACGAAACTCTGAAGAAAGAGGAACACATACAAGATATCAAGAAATTAAGATCTATTATCAAAAGATTTACTGATATTAATACAATCCCAGACGATTTGAAAGACATTTATTTTGTGGACGTGCACTTACCAGTGTCAATTTTGAAGGTAAAACATAACATGTTTAACCCCACTACATTCAGTATGTGCCTGTCCAAAGTCAGGAGCCTCTAATTCAGTAGTTGTCGTTTGTTGCTGTGTTACATATTTGTTTTTCGTTCATAATTTTGTACATGAATTAGGCCGTAAGTTTCCTCGTTTGAATTGTTATACATTTGTCATTTTTGGGCCTTTTATACTGTGGATTCATCATCATTTGTTGGATACCAATTTTCGTGGGGTTTGTGGGTGTAGATGAACCACGAGTTCAAATATTCAAAGAATAACAAATTTTCCATAGGCTTTGCATGCAGAGATTGGCAAAACTACGAAATCAGATATCCATGAAAATGAAAGTTTTTTTCAATCCACGAAAATTGGTACCATCGAAAATAAATAAATCCACAGTAGCTAACTATGCGGTATGGGCTTTGTTCATTACTGAAGGTCTTAAGGTGACCTATAGTTGTTATAAGATCAATTCTCTGTAACCACCAACCATTTCATATAGGGGGTCGCCACGCATAGTCACCGATTTTCCTGAAACTAAGCCTAAACATGTTATTAGGTAAAAAAAGAAGCAGAGGTAATTTTTCATTGAATTTGAGTACACAAATTATAAACATTTTGCATGAACAAAATATACATTTTGCATCCACCTCCATTTAAGCTGTGGTTATAAATAAAAAAAGTAACAATGTTTCTAGTCAATTAATTATAACTAAATGTTTGGGATATTGGGTTCTAGGATGGTTGCTATGGAAACAAAAATGTGTCATTTTTGCCTTTTTACCTCTGAAATTTGACCATGTTATTAGGATAATCCACATAAAGTAATAACTATTGAATGACTATGATGTGCAATTGAATTACCATAAATTTGACCCAAGGTGAAAGGTCATTGATGACCTTGACCTTTGACCTTGTGAATATTAATCGAATTTTGAAAGGAACGATGATAGAAAGTAGCATACCATACATGGGGAAAATGTTCAGGACGTTTAAAGCCACTATTTTATTAACATATAAACAGTCAGAAATCAAGGTCATTGTCAAAAGTGCTTAGAAACCACCCTTATTTGATAAAAAAGTATCTAGTTACTATACATGATTTGTTTCAGGACTACATAAACTATTACATAGACCTTACCTAAAAGGTCAAAAGGGGGGGGGGTCATCATATAAGTTTTAAACAATCATTTATTTATATTGGAAAAGTGCCTAGCAACCATTTATATTGGAAAACTGCCTAGCAACAACATATTTTCTGTTTCATTGTGACAAAAATCAGAAAAAAAATAATGTTTAACAAGCAGTTTTCTTTAGGAACACATGCATAATACAGAATAATAAATTAAATGGCAAATTCAATTTTCAAGAGACTGATTACACATTCAAATACAAAAATTAAAAGATGTGGTACGATTGCCAATTGGACAACTCTCCACAAGACACCAAAGGTTATTGTTAAGACAGGTCCTTTGAATCTACAAGAACAAGAGAAAAGGAAAAGAACTACTAAGAGAACGACCAGTTTATTTCTTTTGTTGGGGTTGGGTTATTGGACAAGAGGTTTTGCATAGATAGAATAATCATTTTCACTCGATATAAGATTGGAATACTTATTTCATATTTTGTCGTCGAAAAATTATTTTTCATTGTGTACACATCTTCCTATTTCAAATCGTATGTGGCTGATGTGCATCTGAATGTACAGAAAATTCCCTTTCAGCATGTCTTGTCCAATTTTATTGATCTTAAGTTCTAGACACCATCACATCATTCATTTCATTAAGCATCCCTTATCATCATCACAAAATATACAATGGTCCTCCCTAACTAATAGAACTACCCTGAATTCGCTCAAGTGATATGTTTGTATTTCAAAAGTGGATGATTTAAAAAAAAAAACTTTCTTAAAAAAAAAATTTGTGTTCTGCAAATTTTTTTTTTTTGCTCACCTGGCCCACAGGGCCAAATGAGATTTGTTCATAACATTGCGCTGGTCGTCGTTAAATTGTTCAAAAAACGTTTTTTCCTCTGAAACTAATAAGCAAACGGAGTAGGCCCAGCAAGACCCCTTTTTGGCCCCCAAATATAGCGTTTTTACAAAGTTGTTAAAATGTAAACTTTATTTATAAGATAGTAGAATACTTTTGTTAGATAAATATGGGTCGTTTTTGACAATACAATGGACACTCATCAGGTACTAGCATCAGTTTGTCATGCAAAAATACTGAAATTTTAGCATTTGTGCTAATTTTAAGACGATTTTTGTCATAAATAAAAGTAATGGCACTTGTGTTCAGTCTTGATATTTAGATATATATTGTTTTTAATGACAATGCATAACATATATAATGTTGAGACTGAACATGAATTCGGCCACTTCCATTTTAGACAAAAACCATATGAAAAGTGACGTTTAATGATATTTTTGAAAGATTTTTCATATTTAAACTTGAATTTGAGCGTTTGTAATGACCAAATCAGTTCAATTCTTTAACATTCATTGAATCGAGTGCAAGTACGCACTTAAGTGTTTAAAAATACAAAAAAAAAAAAAAAAAATTCAGCTGATGAACTTCGAATTTTCGGCCAAAATTAGCCCTTACCGGACTTCTCCTTAAACCAGACTTGGCCACAATCATCATTATAGTATGTACTTTAAAACATGTGTCTCATGATGGCTAATATAGCTAAAAATAGAATATAGGGATAAAATACAAGTTTAATTTGTCTATCATCATGACTACTGTTATAAATAGAGAAAAATCTGACAGGACCGTAAATAGTCCGAGTGATTAGATCTACCTATTGTCAATTTACATTAAAACTGCTCGACAACTTGTTGTGGGAGTTTCTGCCCTTTAATGATGAATGTTAACATTTTTTTTTTCGTTTTTGCCTATTATCTTGAAAACAATAATAGATAGAGAGAAACATTTAATATAAAAAATCATCAGCAACACCTGATCAAAAAAAGGACTTGGATGAAATCGTCAGCTGATTTTTTTATTGGAGTTATTGCCCTTTAAAGACGATATTTTTTGAGTTTTTGTCTAATATCAAAGATATCATAATAGATAGAAGGAAACTTTAAATTACAAAATTATCAGCAAGACAAGATTACAAATAATTCAACATAGTTAAATTCGTTTGACGACCCCTAATGAGAGTTATTACCCTTTAATGACGATTTTGCACAACAATCGTCATTTAGTATTAACATATACATTAAAGAATAAGCTACAAGAGTAAGTAAATACGAAATATGCCAGTAATTCAAAAATTGGGATAACGAAACAAGAGAAGTGCTGTTATTTGAATCCGTCTCCCTTAGTAGTCATTTCAGGGCAAAACGCCCATATGAGGTCAAAAGAATAGAAATAACTTTGATTTGCTATATTACTTTCTATCCATTTATTGAAGTTTCAAGATAAAGAACAAAAAAGTAAAACATGAGGCCCCAAGGAAACTGTATTATGATTCAACTGGTATTTTTAAGTAAAATTGATACAATAAAATAAGAATAATATTTCAAGCAAAAACGCGAAATCAAATTATTATTATTCTGACGTGTTCGCTTTTTTTTATTACAGTGTATTTTATCCCTTCAAATGTCCTGTATCTGTATTTCTAATCGAGTAAAATATGTGTCAGGTAGATTGTATAAGGATGAACAAGTAAATGTCAAATCTGGAACAAAAAATACGTAAATACCAATTTCGATGATTTGCATTATATATGTTTGTATTAAAGTATGTAATTAACCTAACAATTATAAAGTAAAACTTATCTTTAAGACATCATATTCTTAGAGATATTAATATATCAGGGTACCTTGTTTGTGAAAGCTGTAACAATAAAGTAATTGTAACTCCTTAGACCAATAAATGAATCATCATAAAATGATTCTTAGGATATAATTAATTTTCATTAAATTTTCAAGATAGACAGAAGAGGAAAGAAAGGGACAGGAGAAAAAAAGAATGATATGTTTTGGTTGCAATTTGCCAAGTAATTTCAAAAGACAAGACTTTTGCAAAAGTTTACACAAAACGAAGACGGACGATAAGAGATGAAAAACTCAATTTGCCCTGTAGGCTAGGCTAGCAAAAAAAAACAAAACAATGCGTTAAAATCGTCTTTTAAAGTATTTAAACTTTTTTGTAACTTTTTATCTGAAAAAGTTATGAAGTAAAATAACTGCGAAATTTGCTTAAAGTTGACATTTAATGTTGTCCAGTTGTTCTGAAAATTTTAAGAATGATCAATACCTACTGACCATAACATTCCTATCTTGCTCTAACTACTTTATATATACATGTATATATGCCTTGAATAAAACAGCATTTGTATTTCAAGTTAGAACAGGAGACACATTGGCTGGTGATTAACTGAAATTCACATGAGTATGTGAATTATTTAAGAAACACAATTTCTGTTCTTAAAGGGAATTCGAAAGTGTAATTGGAAGAAAGAATTACAAGTTTAGTTTCAAAATTTCGGAATTTTGACCAAGGCACCAATACAGTGATGGTTGCTAGGCATTTTTTAACTATATGAGAATAGCTGCTAAAGTCTATGTTGACAATATTGACCCCTTATCTTTAAATTAGGATCTATATCATAGTTCATATTAATCTGAACCCAATTATGTATGGTTGCTAGGTACTTTTATATCAAGTAAGGGTCGTTGCTAAGAATTTATGACATGACCTTTACCTCCGACATTTTGTTTGCTTTATTACCAAATAAAAGCAATAATCATTCTGAACACTTTTTCTATATACTGTGTGGGTTTATTTGTTAAAATTTCTTTACAAAATTTAATAAAAAAAGACTAAAGGTCAAAGGTCAAGATCATCAATAACCTTTGACCTTTGGGGTAACCTTAAGGTCATTGAATGCACAACGTGTCTCAAATGATTTACATCCTTTATCTGTCACTGTTTTTGAGTTATTTTGATAACAAGGTCAAAATTCTTTTACAAAATAACAGAAATGACACTTTTACGCTCCCATAGTAACCTCCCTAGCAACCTATTTCCCAAACCTTTAGCTATAAATTATTCTTAGGCAACAGTGATAGTTTACATTTATTATCTCAGTATAATTGGTTGTGGATACAAAAGTAAGAAATTATGTGATGCAAAATGTCTATAATTTGCCTTCTTGAGTACATTGAAAAATCCGTTATATAAATCGGTGCTGCCCCCTCCTTCCTTTTTTATCAGAATTAATTTTTATCTTTCATCTTACTCATGTAGTGCTATATTTTAATGAACAAATGTAAAAAAATTCGTCAAAATTGAAATGTGTGCATGATAACTGCTTAGAATGGGTCATTTTTGTTCGTCAAAATATGTATTTTGAGGCAAAATCCAAGGGAACCTGTTACCATGGCAACGGGGACATAAACAAATTTTTTGTCAACATATTTCTTGTTTGTTTATCAATAGTTACCAACAAACAAAATTTCAAGAAAGTCTGAGACTATGCGCACTTGGTTGGTGGTTACAGAGAATTACTATTAATTTCTGTGTCATTTGGTCTCTTTTGAAAAATTGTCTTATTTGCAATCATACCACATCTTCATTTTTATATGTTAACTGTATATTACCATAAGAGCTACACAGAGTCCGTTGGTTTTCAAAATTTACATTTAGGTAGATACTTTTGAAAAATTTCTAATAAAACTTAAAATATGTCGTAATAATCAATTTGAACAAACTATCAATAATAACTGCAAAAATAATTGTCTGATGATAAAAGATAGAAAGTCATTCCGGTTCAAAATTGGAATTTAGTGAAAATAAGTGAATGCTCTCGATTTATTAAGTTTCAGACAAAAGCAAAATTTGTTTCGTTAACATAAGTATCACTCAGCCGCTTAAAAGACAAACCATGTTCGTAACACGTTTTAGATTCAATTTGGTAAATGAGTAAGTATAACAAATAACGTTGATGAAAAGATTTGGCTGTAGTTTATTACAAACGGGATATAACATCCAAAAGTGTACAATGAAATTGTTTATAGGGATCGTTAATTTGAATGCGATCAGTGTAATCGATTTATCCTTTGACTAGACCTTTTCCTATTTGGTATCAATCATACACTGTACTTAAATCTTTAACATTTTCTTAATCGGAACTTGAACAAATTAATATATAAATACATGTGAATTGCTATACAGCTAAGAACCCTTCTGGTCCAACATGCATTCGAATCATATAAATATTTATATATTATGTGGCTTTTCTCAGAGGTTTTATTACGTTAATACGCAAATTGTACTAAATGTGTACTGACATTTTAGTCGTGGAAGACATACTTTATTTGTCAGTTTTGTATTTTGCATTTTTAGGGAAACGTAATAATTGTAGACACACCGGGAATAGGAGAAAATGAAAACCTGGATAAAATGTTACTAGATTTTCTGCCGCATGCAGTCTCATTTGTGTTTATTGTAAATGCTAGAAATGCTGGAGGAATACACGAAGATAGGGTAAATATTGAAATCGTATCAGTAATGAATGATCTTTAAATAATAAAGAGGATGTTGGACAACAAATTTTTAGCTTCAGAAAGATGATGATTGTTATTGCACTAGATATTCAAGATCATTATTATAAAAGATAATTGTAAATATAATTAGTTTTCACTATCCGTTTGAGCCTTACACATTTGAATTATGTTTATGATGTACGACAAGATAACTAACTTGAAAAGTTGTTTTAATCGCATACACTCTAGTTTACATAAAGTTTCATCCATTTTTCTGTTACAAGTTAAAATAATATTTTTCCAGCTTACAAAAATAATGAAAACAATTATGAACAATCGGGAAAAAATGCCCTGTTTTGATCCAAGAGAAGTCATGTTTCTAACTAATCAGTGGGATATTATCGACAGTCAACACTCTTCATCGGACGACGACGACGAAGGTGGTGAAAGGGATAAAGAAGATCAGCATACAAAAACATGGAAAGTCATTCAGACGAAATTGGAAAAAAGCTGGTTTGGGTTCAATCTTGAGAATGTGTTTCGCATAAGCTTAAAACAGGTGAATTTATCTTTGTGTAACCACAATATATATTTTCCCAATTTTTTTAACATGAGTATTATTCTATTGAAAATAACTTAAACTTCATTTAACTGCAGTTTTGAGACGGCAACATGATTTATCAACTCTTGCACCTCACTCTATCAAATTAGTTTTCCTCTATATAAGGAAAGAATATTATTTTACTCATCAGTATTAGCAGATGACCAACGATCAGGGGTTTAAATGAATCGAAAGAAGTATCTAAGGCTCTAAAACTGTCTGTGCAATACATTTAATCGTAAATCTGGATTTTACATAACAAACAGACCAATCATTTTAAGATAAACCTTATCATGTTCATCTTTAACTAATGCATTAATTATTGCTAAATAATCTTTTTCCTTTCTCTTCAATAGGTTGCAAAAGGAGTTAATAACTTCTTTACTGATGAATACAATAGATTTGAAACCGTGTTGAAGGAAACGATAGATAAAAATGAAAATAAAAGAGTAGAATTCTACTACAGGTTTGTTCTTATTTATTTTATTAGAAAAGTAACAAGTCTTTATATTTTTATAGTGTTCATGTGTGTATACAACACATAAACGTTTGTTACGGTATATTTAAAAAGACGTTGGAGATTACAATGGCAAAATCAATACACGTCAGTCGAAGAAAGTCAGACAAAAACTTGAAAAACGAGGAAAGGCCGTATGTCGACATATAATCGCTTAAATCTGCTTCAATTGAACTCTGTTGAATAGTTATCCTATTGACAATCACATTCTAAGGTATACGCTTTTATAGATTTTTAAAAGATTTTATAAGAAAAGCAGAGAGAGGAACATTGGCAAGGCTAAGACTATTAGATAGAACAGAAGAAGAACAGCAGATAACTATAAAGAAAAGCAATGATAAAATTCGAAATTTGGAACTCAAATGCAAGAAGGTAATTTTTGACATACAAATAAATTCATTTTATATCTTATTTTTATCTCAAGTTAGAACTTAGAACTTTAGAAAACAGACAACATACAGTTACATAAAAGCACATAAACAGTTTGAAGCTATGGAGTTTGCATAATATATTGAGTTAAAATCAGGACATCAAATAATTGTATCTGTGATCCTCTAAAAGTTACTGTCAGATATCGAAAGAAAAAAAAAAGAATAACAATAATACCGAACTCCAAGGTATATTTAAAAAGTCTGTAAAAACTGACAATAATTAGGATCTAACAGCCAATACAACTGTATAAACATTTATTACAGACATCCAACCCAATTAACTAAACCATGTGTATTTTGAAAATCATTCTCTCTAACAGAAGGCTTTGTGATACTTTGGAGTTTTTCCTTTTCATTCTTCTGCCATAGGGTAAAGTAATACGTCAGAACATCGTTCTGGAGTTTTGAGATATACATGCCATCAAATGTACACATAATACAATACGGAAATTGTGTATAAATACCAAGATTTTGGAAGGCATGAGATTAAAAAAAAAATACCCAACCCCAAGAAAAACTCAAAACGGAAAGTCCTTTATCAAATAGGTTTGAAATAATCTGAACAGGTCTGATGAGAAACAGATATATCATGTTCATAAAAAAATTCAAACAGAATAAGCGGTTTACGTTGTAATCATTTAGAAAAATTGCATATATTGCGACCGTAACTCTTTTACATTTAATCTAAAAAAGATTGGCCTTATGATTTTATGATTGGACATATTTGATATGTTGGGCCGCAAACATTTAGTAGCGATCGTGCGGTAAAGTATTACGTGCAAAAAAGAGGCATTTTTAGAAAAAAAGCATCTCTACAATAAAGATAATCGCTATTTAGCAGATCTCTTAGACGTTATAAAAAAAACTTATAATTGCCAAAAATATATAACGTATCAAAACATATCAATATTGCAAAAAAATAAATGTGAACAATCGAACGATACAATGTCAGTTTGTTATGTACTTGTTTTAATCATATATTTCAGTCAAGAGAAGAATTAGAAAGTTACAAAGCAGAAATCATTTCAATGCTCGCTGAGAAGCTGCATGCTTACCTTCACTCAGGTCATGGCCAATCAGAAATATTATGTCCTCCTGGTAAAACATCGATATGTGATGTCTCTTATTCATCAATTGGGGAAGAGGTGCCACAAAGAATACAGAGTGGAATACAGAGATGGTGCGATGGAGAAGAAGCAAAGTCAATCATTGAAGATGCTGACGCAAAAATCAAAGCATTTGTCAAAGATATAGAGTCAAAACTGCAAGAAATTGAGATTGAAATGACAGGAATAGATGTAAGAGCTGACACTAGTTCTACCGGAGCTGCTATTTTGGGACTTGGTCTTGGTCTTGGTCTTCTTTTTCTTCCTTTTTCGATCGTATTTACATTTGTCTTTGCCTTGGCATTTGCTCCTATCTACATGGCTTGGGGGTTTTTTCTTGGTGCTGGTGGTCGTCGCCAAAAAGTAAATGAAATATATGATGATTGTTTAAGAAAGATATCGATGTCTGATTTGAAGGCAAGTTTTGCAAGTTCATTTGGTGTCGAATACGGTAAAGTGATTGTTCTTATTTTCGACGAATCAGTGCCAAAGGTAATAGGCAGTTTACTCACTACTAACAAAAAGCTTCAAGACGAATACCAGGCTATTAAAAGGAAAAAAAAATCATTCATGCGATTGAAAGAGAACATTAGGAATATCCAAACAGCAACGGAGAATTTTGAACATACGTCTTAAGTTTGCTTGTCCATGCTGATATTAACTGCTAGTATTTTTAAAATGTAATAAGATGGTAAGGAGGTTTTAAATTGTTCAGAGTGTGTAAAAATGTAGATTAATACCTTTGTTCTTAGATTATCAACATACGAACGTTTTTATATTTATCTAATGATACTAATATTTACAACATTTTTGATAAATGTTGACTAGAAGTCGTATTAGTAATAAATCAAAGATAAGTACATTTTTAATGACAAAATAGATTCATTGTGTATGCAGGGCAGTATTTAAGTCACAGCACTGGGTCGATATCTCTGCTGGTGGACTAACAGTCCCCGAGGGTATCATCAGCTCAGTAGCCAGAAGTTCGGTACCGACATGATTGATAACTAACCATTCTAAAATTGTCCGTTTATGAATTTTAAAATTATACAGAAACTAAGGTTTTAATTCCCTCAGGCAAAGTTGGTCTTAGATGGGTTTGGCTATATTTTTAGGAGCCTTTTTGGTTATATAGCTCTTCGACTGTCCCGAATTTTTCTACATCCTTTGCTTTTAAAAATTCGACTTGAGCATTCCTGATGAAGGTAATTCCAGAAATGCGCTTCGGAAGCATGTAATTTATAACGTGTTGTTTTCATTTTTTAAGTCAAATATCTTCTAAAATGAAAGCATAAATTCCGCATCCAATAACTCTCTTTCAAAAGCAAATGAATGGAAAGTCCTTTGTCATGTTTGTTTTATTTCTATTAATGACAGACGCAAGTTACACTAAAGAGAAAAACGTTTTTGATCTTATAAGACATTAGTTGATAGTTATTGTAAGAGGGAAAACAATGATATACACTGTAGTTAAGTTTATTTAATAAGGCTGTTTACCTGCATATATTGTATAGCATTGTATCCAAAGCTTTAAATGCTATTTTTTTCGCTTCCTTAATATAAGTGTTAAATATATTTAAGATAAATGAAAAAAAATATTTTGACCTTTTCCTAATAAAATTGTTGGTGTGTTTGTCTTTTTATGTAAAATTTGGTAAATTAAATATTCTGATTATAAGAAAGGCAAGGATACCAAAGTGACATTCGACCTCAAAAGTAAAAAATGAACTGACAACGCTATGGTTAAAAAGGATAGGAGCACACAAGAAAACAACACCTAACAAAACACAACATAGACAACACAAAGACACAAACCCCACCAAAAACTTGGGGTGATATCAGGTGCTCCGGAAAAGGAAGCAGATCCTGCTCAACATGTGGCACCCGTCGTGTTGCTCATGTTAGTATAAACCCGGTTATTAGTCTAATTCCATAGGTCAATTTCTTGGAAAAGGGAACGGGATTGTAGTTAAAAATGTAATTACAAAAAATAAGAGTTAACGATAAAGTTTAAATTTGTTTTAAGGTATACTAGAACATTAAACTTTACACGATACCAATTTTTTAAACAAGTTTATTATTCATCCGCTGAATTTCGAATACATTTTTTTATTCAAATGTGTTGATTGCCTAAGAAAAACAAACAAAATGTGAATTAAATATTGTATCTGTAGCAACGCATTAAAACAAATGCCCAGAACGTTTAGTTTCAGATTAGAAATACTCACATAAATGTATACACTTGAAATGATCTTTTAAAATGTTAAACACACTAACTGGATGCAACTTTGCCGTAGAAAAATGAAACTGTTAATGTTTTACATTATGGATAATTGACAATGAGGGTCGGTTGAAACCAAAACTTTACGACAGGAGAGATGACATTAACTTCCAAAATGTGAACTTTCCATTTCTATGTAGCAACATTACAAAAGCGCCTGCATACGGAGTATATATCTCCCAGTTGATACGATATTCCAGGGCTTGTGTTTCCTATCATGACTTCCTTTATGGATGCCATCACGAATTGGATGATTGTTATGGAATTTCCGTTTCACAGATGATAGCGAATATGTTCCAAATGTCATTCAAGAATCTGGTCCTCTTTTGACCGAATGTAACCTACCGAATAAGAATTAATACCAGGTTTGTACTAACATGAGCAACACAATTGGTGCCACATGTGGAGCAGGATCTCGTTACCCATTCCGGAGCACCTGAGATCATCCCAGGTGGGGTTCGTGTTGCTCAGTCTTTATTTTTCTGTGTTTTGTTTTTTGGTACTACTGTTGGTCTTTTTCTTTTTTAACCATGACATTGTAAGAATAATTTCGACTAATGAGTTTGATTGTCCCTTTGATATCGTTTGTCCCTCTTTAAATAAGACGCGCTTTCGTCATTGATTAAATTTTGGATGCATAAGAATTTTATTTGGCACAAAACAAATGAATTTAGATAATCGCTTATATATTTTCTCTCTTTCTTATGAAATAACCTAAATAATTAGACTATATCGGATTGTTAACGTTATTCATATCATTTCTATATTCGGAAATACAGTGACCAATATAAGAGTCGGAAAAGCATAGTTCTATTTGGGACGATTTTTTATGCCAAGATTTAAACGTTTATTGCTAATAATATTCTGGCGAAAAAAACGAAAAAAAAACGACGTTAAAACAAACAACAATCGCTATAAAAAAAGACAACAGTCGCTATAAATAAAGACAACAGTCGCTATAAATAAAGACAACAGTAGTATACTGCTGTTCAATAGTCATTTATCGATTGAGCGAAACAAATCCGGGTCACAAACCAAAACAGAGGGAATCACATCAACTATAAGGGGAAAACAACGGAACATCAGAAACACTGAACTGCTACAAAAACAAACACCAGCATACATAGAAACGGACTATTTGATGACAACTGCCATATTCCTAACTTGGTACAGGACATTTTAAGACAAAATGGTTGGTTGAACCTCGTTACAAGTAAAACACTATATAAACACAACTAATTAATGAGCCACATGGAACCCACATCTTTAAAGACTAGCAAACTTACGAATAGAAAAAAATGAAAAACAATCTAAAGAAAACAAAAATATTTTTTTACAAGGAAATGTGTGTATGCAAACTGTTCGCAATCCTTCAAAGGGCTCAAATTAGAATTAGAATAAATGTGTGATACACAAAAAATCGACCAAAACCTTATCAGATCAGACGACTATGATGATGTCTTGAGACCTAACATCCCGACAACATGTGTCTTGCAAGTTGTTTGAAACAAACATTGTAACTGTTACATGTAGCTACTTCGTGATGTTAAACCCAAAACATACGTTTTGCCGATTTTGGTTGTGTTTTAAATTTTTATGCAATGGAAGGACACCTATTTTAATGATGTGCGTATATTTTGATGAGACAGAGGAACTATTATGTATAAGACATGGGCAGATATCAATAAAAATGAAATCTCCGTAAATATCATAAATGTTACTGTTTGTGCCAATTTTGTGAAGTAATTCGGAAATAAAGCACAACATGTAACTTTAATGTAAAGTTCTCTAGCTTATATCTTCGAAATAAACTGATTCAGGTTAATGTGCAGATCTATACTCTTTGGAGATGTTTTAAAAACTCATTGTATTAAAAAAAAATAGATAAAACATTAACAGGGATTTGGATATGCTTTTGGGGTCTGGTAGTGTTTTGTATCATAATTAGCTGGTGCGAAAAAAGTTTCCTGTAATATCAGACGGATCATACTTATAATGTTATAGAACATCCCTGTCCAATTAATTGATTTAATTGCGATATTGTGTAATTTGACAGTGAAAATGATGATAAGGACAAATGTTATCTCTTTTCTACAAGTAATTATCATTTCCTTGAAGCTAGAATATATACATGTTTGTAGTGAACTCAAATACATTGTTTAATCCAACATATGTTAGTGTGCATGCTTTTGCTTACTATTTTTGCGACGTAAAACACGTGCATGCATTAATATTCATTACACTCGTATGCAGAATTTTAACTAGAATAACAATTACACATTACAGAACAACTCCAATGATATCTCTGATAATACTAAAATCTCATGTAGATTAAGTACTTATAGCACTTCGTTATCTTTTGCTCCTGACGGTGAGCAACAAATACAAATTCGCGATTATGATTGAAAAAAAAAATTGACCTGGCAAGCGGTTGAATAATTTTCATTAACTTTAAGCAGATTAAATCCGGAATTGACTGTTTACCTATGTTATATTGTAAAAATATACCCATAGATTATAGGATGTTTGAAGTCAAGAAGTCACTAATAAAATTAAACATGTACAACACGAGTCAAGAAAGGAAGAATATAATAATTCTCCTAAAGCGATAATCAAGATTCATAATTCGAAGAGAAATTGACAAAACATAGCAAATAAGAAAGACGAAAAGACAAAACAACACCCTTCAAATCACTAAATACAAAACTAAAGACTGAACACCATAAGCTCCACCAAACTCGTGTGGTGGTTTTAGGTGCTCGGGAGTATTAATGTGTATTAGCCACGGAGACAATGAAGAATTATTTTTTTCTATATTATGTTTAACCAAAATTGTCTAGAATACTGCTATGATTAATCTTAAGATTGTGCTTATCATCTATTTCAAGTTTGAATATATATGGCTCATATTAAATTTAACGGCGTGTGATATGAATTGGTGATACAAAAATGCTTTAACTTGGTAGTCGTATTCTGCAATGCGTTAGAAAATTGTGACTTTTCTTTGGTTAGTCTTAAGGTAGAGTATGACGTTTGATGATCTGCCTTATAAACGAATACTGGTCATTACTGCAATGATAAAAGTACTTTTCCATAAAGTCGCTATTGAAAGCAAAAAATCATAGGCTGTAAAAATATGGTAAATTTTATTTGAAATTGATGATCAACCGTAAGTTTGTATTTCAATACATTTCGAAAAAGTCCTTCTGTTATTGAAATATGAGACTTTTTTGCTACTGAATTTTGCGTTCAATACAAAAATAACAAAAATTGCCTGGCCCGAATAAAGAAAAAGACACAAGCCTTATTCGTATTTACAATATTACCACATCGCATGACATTTTATAACAATTAATAACCGGATATGTTTTGAATTATGACAATGAGACAACAATCGAAAGACAAAAATAACGAAGGGCATCTACATTTCAAGAAATCGTTAAAATATTGTTCTTTTTTCTATCAATGAATACGAAAATATGCTCAATCAATAAGGAAGTTAAAAGGCAATGAAGACAAACATCAATTTCCGGCGCAGAGTTCATATCCGTTCCGTACATGCAAACATTTCAAAAAGATATAAATAATCTGTCTATGGACAGGCATTTCCTGGAGAAGAAAAACTTATGATTTTGTACGATTTTAAAGTTTACTGAACACAAAACTATTAAAAATGTTGTAGCAATAATATTTCATGTCAACAAATTGGTTATTATATAATCTGGACACTTTCGTGAAAACAAGCGATTATGATAGAACTATGACGTAATAAACATGTCGCAATTGTAAAATTGACCTAAAATTGCCATTTTACACGAAGTTTCTTTGTGCGTGTATGTGTGTGTTTTTGAGGAGTTATTACTTCTTCAATAACTTCTACAATGACATTGGGGTTTAAAAAGTCAAATAACCAAAATATAAAACTGCAAGGAAATTTCAAAACGGAAAGACCCTTATCAAATGACAAAATCAAAAGCTCAAACACATCAATCGAATGGAAAGCAACTGTCATATTCCTGACTTGGTACAGGCATTTAATTATATAACTTGTATCATTTTATGCTGATTATATAGACCTTAAACAATGAATGGAGAAATTTGACAAATCAATATCACAAAACCCCAAAAAACCATACGAAATTGCTACTTTATTACATCGACCGAAAAAGGACACACAGCGATTGTGGAAGCCAGTGTGCATTGTTGGAAGTGGACAGAGTGCCCGGAGACAACCAGCAACCTTCGGGAGAAAAAACTCAAAGTCAGTAAAGATCGGAGTCGAAGTTTCTTTCAACGAGTTAGAAATCAAAGCGCAGTGTTGACAGGATAGTTTTCGTTATACTACTTCTCCG